ACATGATCATTTTGAAGCATCACTTTTAAGAATTTTGAGTAAATCCAAGCCCAACCCTGCCCACTCAAGGCAGCTTCGCACTTTCGACTCTTGAGTAGCAGGTATCTAAGGGCGGTGGTAGTCACTTACCATCAGTGTCCTTTTGATAGTTCGAGCCATATTTTATAGTTAGGGGTCCATAAAAAAATGGAATAACCTGCTATAAAAACCTAAGCTGCTATATTAAAGTTTTAATTGGTCAACATTATAAAGGACCTCATTTTTTATCTCTACCCACATCCAAAGCCACTTCACATTATACAAAAACGCCTATAAGGTCGTGTTTTTCTGATCTTCAGTAATAGTTATCAATGAGACTAAGGTAAGGAACAACTGAAATTTGAAGATTACTAAATGCACTAACTTAGGTGACCAAGATGCAATTTCGCGCCTGTTGTACACAGACCAGGATTGATAGTTGAAAACTCCTTTATATAATCAGATCTTCGCCTACTCTCTTAACAGGAGTGATCACGCCATTACGTGTAGGTAACGTGCGAGTTAAATAATAAAACACATAATTATCAATCATACAATATGTATTTAATATAAGATACAGTACTTGTGACAGGTGGACAAACCATTTTATTGAAAAAAAAATCCTTAATAATCACTACATTGAACAAATTTCAAATTTAAATTAAAATTCACTATTATTATGCCCAAATGTGTGATAAATTAATTGAGGTAGATTACCCATCAGCTCGTGGGCTCAAAATTATAATTATTTTTACCGATTTCACCATAGGGGTTTAAGCAAATAAGACAACGCATTAAACATTATACTATATATAATTAAATATCTACAAATCGAATAAGTAGTGCACACTATTCGGAATACACAGGCTCCGTAATAGTACTATTGTATTCAAACATTTACAATAAAGGAGAACATTCATATAATAAACGCATCATATAGGAAACGTGTTGAAAGACAACTTGCGAATTACCACTACGCTGCCCCGCGGCCCGACCTGGCGCGAAGCAGATTACAGTACTATGCAGAATAATACTTAATAATAAATACTAAACTATTTACATTCCTTGAGTCTCTGTTACAGCGCCAACAGAAAAATAACAACCGCTATTATTAAACAAATAGTGTTGTTATTTGACTGTCGATAGTGACGTTTCAACTTTCTAACTGACATCAACGTCTCTGCATGTCAGCTGTAATATGTTTCACGCCTACATGACACCAGTGGTCACACCGCATTAAATGAACGCTGATAAACCTATATAGAGAATAAACACTGCACATAAAAACATAGATACCCATAGCCTAGGAAATGCTGGTTTTGACTTATGTTTTAGGAAGGATTGAAGTACTAAATAGAAATTAACTGAAGCACTGGTAACAGATTAAGATCAACGACAATAGGGGGCATTACATAAAGATAACAAAACGTGTTACCAGGAATTCGAAATCTCCATTCTGGAATTCAACAATAATTTTATTGTCTTTGCGTACGAAGTATGTGGGGTATCTAAAACGTGTTCAGTTGAACATCAAACGCTTAAATAAAATGGCCAATAACTACAATTGTTCCCCGTTTGTAAACTCTGTCACGTAAACGATTTTGCATGCGGGTGAGCTCGAGGATGCGCTGGGCAGTGTGTGAACGGTCGCGCGCTCCACGAACATGCAAAACCAAACTCAACATACATGGACACGACATCTATGACTATTGTGGCAGTGATAAAATATATTGTATCTTTTCGCGCTTACTCCATATCATTTTTCATCATCCCGCTCAACGCGAGGTATGTTTTCACAAAATATCATCTCCGTTTAACATTTCAAACAGCTAACACTAAGCTAATCTTTAATTAATTTTAGTCCGAATATTTGCCAAATACTAGAAATTTGTCGCGTTATTACTATAGCGAAACGAAAATTTGTACTCAAGCATTTTGATAGGCCAAAATGTATGTATGTTTGCGTATCTAAGTTTGTTAAAATAAAGTGTTTAAATTGAGCGACACTCGGCACGTTCACTACGACGCAAGTAACATTCACGCAGCGCAACAACAAGGATTCTCTCACGCACTCCGCTCACTACTCTGTTACACTGCCGATTCTGAGATCAAATAATAAAGTCCATTCTGTTACGGATAGAACAAAAACTAATTTTGTCTTTCTGATTTTGGTGTCGAATTCTACTACAAAAATAATTTATTAAAAAGCGAGCCAATAAAATATGGCACTACGATCAGTGCTGACGAAAAATAATTACGCTAATATCTTTAAATTTATTAAAAAAATAATCAGTACGTTGGAAACGCTCCAAAAGGAAGTCTAACTGTACGATCCCCTCAACACGCGAACAATCAGGCACCAACTCGACTACTAGAGAATTGTCCTACAACACTTCTTTGGGACCGCGCCCCAGCCCGTACCAGCCCGTACCAGCCAGCCAGCTCCCTCTACAATACGTATATACACATTCAAATTTCACAATATTAGTCTAGGGATCGATTTACACTACTAAAAGAATCTAATAAAATCTCCGTTCTTTTTTACGATAAGCGATAGTTTGAAAATACGTTATGGTGTATTATAATAATTAAGATTACACCACGTTCACACAATTCGTCCTAACTTAACGCTACAGGCACTAACTAAATCAATACTAGCGAGATCGTGTGAGCATAGAACACAATTTTTATTCACTTGTAAAACCCTTACGGCTAAAAGGCCTTAATATTATATTCTGTCAACTTCTGTATAGGGGCGTCCAAAAAGTTTTAACATCTAAACTCGTTTTTATTATCTGTTATTGACGTTAAATCATCGGCATGAATTTACTGTACGAACAGACCTACACTATCCACCGTCCGGAGTCGTCGCCTACAACTTGTCTGCTAAGTTCGACCTAAAGTGATACAACTGAAACGAATACCTACAATCTTAACTGTGTTAGAAGACACAGTTGCGTCACGTTCAAACACTGATAATTCGTCACGTGGGTATTAGGGATTAGTATATGTTTGGGATGAGACTTAAATGCGATTAGATCATAGAAACTACCACTAACAATATAATAATGAACATTCGAAAGATTGGTGTTTCTAACAATTAATGAACTCTCTATCCAATATACGGTACTTTGGACTTCACAACATTGCTTGTCAGGCCATTACGTCTACAACCATAAATAGCTTACATTATTATTGAACATCTCAAGGCTCCTTATTTCAATGATCTAAAAACATTCGCGATTACATTAATTGTTACATTCCACAAGTGCGTCGCTACAAGACGTAGCGCGCACCGTTCATACGACAACAGTTCTAATACAACAGCGATATACCACCTACGAGGTGCAAGAACACATTCACCAACAGAAACACACGCTTAAGATAAAATATGGCGTAATTTAGAATCACATTCGATTAACTATGAGGACATATATGTATTTATTGCTGATAAATGTGTACTTACATTACAATAACATTACTTAATTGCCAGCTAAGACATTAACCCCTGCGATATTATGGGAGGGGGGGATCACCGAGAACGCTAGCCAAAAGACCCACCTCACAATCCTATCGAACATAAAGCTGCTGTCGTACAAACAGACAGCCTTCAGAACAAACATTTTTCACGTCTCGTCACAAATCCCAATAGAAATCACTCTTTACTTTCAAAACCACAGCTACACTATTGTAAGTGTATATTTATGTATCACACAAAAATACGGCTAGTGTTGTGCGTGAAAACAAACGTCAGTTAATATAGTCTTATCACAAAAGTTTTATTGCTAACGGTTTAGTCGAGGCTAATATCGTACAACACAACTTGTAATGGCAGTGACTCGTGTACAAGGGACAGCTGTTGATTCGCAATCCGTACGCACTAACGCACTAACGCTAGGAGCGAGCTCTGATATGAGTCGAGTACATGTAAGTGAACACCGGTGTGTGTAGCTCTGAGCTTCACGAGGCACTTGTCCCGCACTCGCGGCTCGGCCCCAATAGGGTACTTGACCGTTTTTACCCTCCACTAATTTTATTCATTCCTAAAAGTACATCAACAGAGGAACCAAATTTAAATGAGTTAATCTACTTCTAACTAGCGTTTTTGTTCATCGTACTTTTATCCTTATTCAGTTTTTGGAAAATACTAAGAAACGCGAGCCAAATACCCTATCGTAACTAAAAGCGAAATCAATTGAACACTAAGCTAAACGAAATCGTCTACTATATCCTACTATGTACAGGTTGGCAGTGATGCTTATCGCTGGTCGTATCCTTAAACCTAACTAAGCTATCGGACCGGCCGGTCCCCGTCCTCTCTCTGTACACTAGCTCGTCTATACTACATCGAATACGAACTCGGTACTGTACACTTCGAACTAACTATTTACACGCTTCGTTCCCGTCGTTCACCACGACGTCTATGAACATCCCTTAAGGCTCGATACTTCGACCGTTCAATATCATTATAAAAAAGCATCAGTCTTGTGAATAAAATTTAACTTTCTGCTGTATAAGCAGTCTAAAACGTCGCGGACCTCGACGATCTTTGGCGAGAATTTACCTAAGTCGAATATCGTCGGCCGGCGGCCTGAATCAACATCTGTCTCGCTCTGTACCACATTTACTTACACTATTTACATTTATACTTCGATCGCATTATACTAATCGTTGAGATATCTTTTTCGTAAATTCACGAGCACTGGCGCTTGAAAATAATAAGAATAAAAATCCCTCAGGTAACTACCGATAAACGATTTTTAACATCCAAATCTTTCATTCTCTATATAATTCAAACTCTTCACCGTTAACTATCGTGCGAATTATCTTCAAACGCCAGTATCGTTTCACAACGATAAAGAAATAAATCCTTAAAGCGACTGAAACTTCGAAGATCACGCTACGCCAGTCTAGACGAATCCTTAGAGATGAAAACTTGGTTAGTTTCGGAATAAACCAGTGTGACGTCGCAACGAGAACGGCTATCGGCCGCAGGGCCAGAAGGAGTTCCCGCCGTGCCTGCGGCCCATCTTGCGCTTGAGCGCGCCGGCGGGGGCGGGCGCGGCGTCCTCGCGGTACGGCAGCGGCTCGGCGCGGCACTCCACCTCGGCGCGGCGGCGCTTGGCCAGCAGCGAGGCGAGTATTCGCGAGGACGCGCACCGTCGCGGCTCCAGGCGCTTCAGCGGTTTCTTGCCGGCGGCCGGCGCGGCGGCGGCGGTGGCGACGTTGCGGTACGCGGCGCAGAACTGCGAGTACAGCCGCACCTTGACGCTGACCGAGAGCGACGCGATCTCGACGTGCTTGATCCGCTTCACTTCGTTCTCCGGCACCCATTCGTCGTCCAACCTGTTGAAAAAGACGGTTTTAAATTTTGTCGCTTATCTTGCCACGCAGGTGTGACTGCAAACACAGATACAGATATAATTACGACTCGGTGTAATAACGATCCGCATCTGTAAGAAATGTGTGAGACGTTTGCGCGAAATATCTCGTATATCTCGTTTTGGAGATATAGAATTCGAACGTGTTTGCAGTTGTCACGGTTACCAATCTCAAAGTGATTTCATGCGCATCTAAAAAGCAGACAGACATGACATAAAATAAAATTCTAAGGTGTTATTTCATAGCTGCATAATGTGATTTGCTATGATCGTCATTTGCCATAATGTTTCTATGTGTCAGTAATTCTAAAGCGATCATACATTATTATAGTTAAACCGCCGTAAGCTTGGCCCTCCTGTTGGTTTGCGGGACGCGGGGCGGGTGATGCGCTCGGCTATACATGACACGATGTACTAACTCGATATCTTCAGATTTATTTGTTTGAGATTTAATCTACACACGATGTAATAAAAATCGAATTTATTTCCATGTATTATAATGTCAGTGTATTGTAAGTTTTTATGATTAATTGTAAAATTTAATACTGTAAAATATTTTTTAATAAAATCACCTTATCTTCATCGTGTAAATTATATTCAGATACAATTTAAAGATTAAATAAAATAATAAATATTCTTTATTAGAACTTTAACAGTAGAACCTCTGTAAGCCGAACTTCAAGTTTTTAAATCTTTTTGTGACGCAGAGTCAGCAGATTATCTATGTTGCAAAATAATACTGTGTGTAGCAGTCTTAAGAAAAATAACACGTACAGCCATGCTTTCACGTCAGTCACTGCCGGCGGACAGCGACGCACTAGCCAATTGCTTGAATGCACCCCGCCCCGCATCCCCCAAACCACCAGGAGGGCCAAGCTTACGGCGGTTTGACTATACGTTTTACAAATACTTGTTCGAATACAAACAAAATAGTGACGTCATTTTATTGTTTAGATTGACAGGTTTGAAACTTAACAACATCTAACAATACTTACAGTTTAAGTAAATGTCGTACTACATTTTGTCAAAGAAATCATAGCAATTCAAATTAGAATATTAAATGTTACGCCAAGATAAGAAATAAAAGAAAATGAAAGACACTAAATTGTGTTACCGTCTATGTGTAGGTGGTTAAATTAATCATCAGATAAATACAAAAATTAATATTGCCTCAGTCAAACAATAAATAAGATTGGCAACACGTAAAGTTGCTAGCAATAAGTGAGTAAAACTAAAGTACTTTAAAAACAAATAGCAAAAGAATATGGTTTTCAATTGAAAAAATTCATAAATTTTGTGGTCAATATTTTTTTATTTAAAAAAATATAAATGCTAGCAGCTTTTAAAAAATCTGCGTGGCACTTAAATGGCAATATTTGAACATGCTAAGCCAAAGAAGCTGCTGGGGGATCGACAGCATATATCATCGACCAAGTTGTGAAAAATATCTCAGATATTACCACCAATCAGGCATTTAAAGAGTATACGTCAAATACTTGCGCTTAAAAGTGCCACGTTTTTGGCGTGATTTCACAGAATAGTCGATAATAGAATATAAGTACATGTGTATATATATATGTATATCAAATTGGAAGAACGATGTTGCCAATGTTATAATTGTTAGTGGCAAATTTTGATTGAGTATTATGTGAGTATGTTTCATGTGATCCCCTTCGCTGGCGGATAAATTACCGTGCACTATATGACACTTATAATAGCAGCTAAGATCCTGTTTCAAAATGTCAATGATAAATTACTACTACAACGTTGAAATAACGACAAATAATGTAATGTTCTTTCGGATCAGGACTGCTAGATAATAAAACTGAATGCTTAATGCGCATATGGGTTTATTATTATTATGTATTCTGTCTGTTTAGTACATTGTTTGAAGTATAATTGGTAATTATTCAACGTGAGTTTTACTATTCTTTTATTTAGAAATACGTTAATGTTAGTAAGTACCTAACTGGTTGAGTTAATTTTAACCTACTTCTAATAATTCTTTCGAAATGAAAGTTCGTACGGAAGTACTTGTGGTTTGGAGAACAATAATATAATTTGGCATCTTGGAGCTCACCTAAAGATAGAAATATGAAGGTGAAAAGTTGGGGCTCATATGGCTTGTTTTGTCTAACAGGGTGAACGTGCTAAGGATGGTCTAGTGATGAAGTCAGGGAGTGGAAAATGGAACTCTTTTCTACCTTTTTAATTTAGTTTACCACAGATGCGTGTTTTTTGTATCAAGAAAATATAATTTTATTATTAATCAACGCGTAATGTAAAAAAAATAATTGCGCGGTATTACGTATGGAATTACAATTTTAATAAGTGTGTTATAAGCAATGATATTGGCTCTGTTCCGAAAGAACTGTGACATTTTGAATCAGGTCCCAAAAATAGTAACTCAAGTAAATGGAAAGATTGCTACGTACGTCGCATCTCGAACTAGTTTCGATATGGTTGTGAAACACTGAGAATGGGTGACTAGAGGATGACATGTTTAGGCATTAAGAAAGTAAAAATGACTTGAACTGAAGGTTGGAGGCGTTGGAGTTAATAGAGCATTGATAGAAGATGCACTAAAAAAACACCGAGTTGAGATTCAAACAACGATGTGTAGCGAAGAGACTGCGACTCTAAATAACTGTGCGATAGACCCACCTGCGGTTACCTGAATACATTATAAATATCTAAACTCTGATCCCGTGCTGTCAACTGTAAATACTGAAATAAGTATTCAGTTATAACGGTATTTACTCCTTACGTATATAAATGATATGTTGAGAAACGTAACCCAAGCTCAAAAACAGCGCCACGCAAAATGAACTATGGGAGCGGTGCATAAAACAGTACCTTTCAACTCTGATACACATGGGTACCGCGAAGTTGGGACTGTGTTTATTGAAAGGTTTTGACGTTATTTTATTCTGAAAATACCATGTTGTATGAAATGAATCTATGTAGTCAACGTTATGGGAGTGTCGTTGACTGTTCGGGTAGCTCGCATCCGTAATTGTGTTAACTGTGTAAGCTGTGAGTGTTACGTTTCTTTACATATTATTCGAACCCTACACCTAAATTAACACTTTTTATTTATACTATCTATAGTAATTATCTCCCGATTCTTAGATGTAGAATAATGGTGTTTTTGCTACAAAAAACAAAACAGAGAAACGAAAAGAAAATGAAATCATTCTACATCATACAAAGGATTTTTTTCTTATAAAAATGAAAATTGTCTGATTTTTGATATTTAGAAGTAAAAAAGAGAAAAATCAAGATTGCCTTAAATACTTGGATAACTGTCGAGACGCCATGAAACCTCCTCCTACGATTTAAAGAAAAAGATTCCGACGAATTGAGAACCTTCTCCTTTTGTGAAGACGGTTAAAAAAGTATTTTAGAGATAGAAGACAAAAGAGATGCAGCACAAAATTATTAAAAATTATTTTCTGCATTATGAAGATATTGTGAAGATGAATTCAGCCTTCACAACGGGGGCAACATTTTCAATATTGCCCTACTTAATGGTTAAATGAATTACAAATTTATTAAGTACTAGCTGGTACCCGCGACTTTGTTCGCGTGGAGTTTGAATAGTGTTGCCTAAGTGGGTTCGATTAAGAGGAAAAATAGCCTAAGTTACTCCTCATATAGACAGCGACCTGGTAGTAAAATATTATCAAAATCGGCCAGCCGTTTAGAAGATTGCCCGGAACAAACAGACACTTCATTTACATTTATTTGTATAGATTACTGACTGAACACATTAAGGTCTGACGGTTTTTTTTAATTAGTCTAACAACTATATATACAATCAGTTCTGAAACCATTTTTTTACAAATATGACCTAGATAAATATTTTTTTAGAGTTACCAGAACCTGAACTACAGAATATATCTATAAAAAAACCTCATTATGACCATAACGAACGAACTGACCCGAAATTCCTAACCAATAAAATTAAATACTACCCAATGTGCGGTGCTGACGTTTTAAAACTCCAATGCTTACCTGAAAACACCATACATTGTCATATCGAAAATTATTAATATGACTTATCTAAGGTGTTCTCCTCTTCGATCGAATATACCACAGAATATACTATCTCTAACTAATATCGTGGCCTCAGATTGTACTACATACTTTATGTGTATGAGCCACTCTAATAATAAGCCAGACATACAATGAATGTTCTTTTAAATATATCTTGCAATAGTTTGATACATCAACTTCAATGTAATGCGTCTGTATTTATATTTCTAGCCACAATAGAATGTATTAGGCTAAGATTCGGAGTCGACTTGTGTACATTAGGGTGTTAGCCGCCGCGGACGCCCTTCCGGGAGCACAGAGGGAACATGGGGGTTCCCACACAGGAGAGGGGGGGGGGGGGGTCGTCTACCCGCCGTAGATGGCCCGAGGTACGTCAGGACACCAGGGATTTCCTTTTTAGGGTACACCTGGTTCCCTGACTACTGGTACCTGAGACGGCGTGCGGTTTTAGTCTGTTCGAATCCGACATTGCCACCGGTAAGTGGTATCCGAGGGAATGCCCACACAGAAAAAAAAAAGAAAAAAAAAGGGTGTCAGCTGTAATCGACATAATATTCAATTACTGTGCTCTACTCGTTAGCAATGCATATTTTCTATACTTTAACAATAGGACAAACATAACATTTTTTAAAATTTTCAGTACAGTTTGCATTGTTAAAGTATAGTTCTCCCTTTTTTATTACACTTGTAAGATTCTATCGCTACCGCAAACGCAAAGCATCTGGCAGCAAAACTTGCACAGTTTAAAGCGCAAAAAACATCCAACTAAATGTTTTTTTAGGTCAAACATCTATGGTATAAACGATCGAAGGGTCTTCTCTATTTGATTTTAAATATAAGTAATACTGTACTTATCAACTTTATTTAATAAATTTAATTTAAATATACATATAACATTTTTTCACTTTCCGAGATTTTTTTACTGTTTATAGATTAGAAAATATTTGTACGAATGATTTAAATCGATTAATCTCCAAAATATAAGTTCAACTTCTGCAATTTTGGAGAAGTGAGATCGCTGCTGTAAGTGTGTTCGATAGGTGTAATTTCAGTATTGAAAATGTACTTACACATGAGGCGGATTGTATGTGACGAGCGCCTCCCGCCGCCCATCGGCGAGGTTGACGCGCGTGGCGCGCAGGTGCGCGCGCAGCGTCAGCGTGTGGCGCGTCGCGTCGCTCTCGCGCAGCGGGCACGCGCCGCCCAGTCTCCAGCGAGTCACGCGCGTTAACCGCCACACCAGACCCTCCATCATGCCCGCGTCGAAAAAGTCGAACATGCGAGCTGTAACACAAATATCGATAGTAAACACTCTAGAGACGATGTTTTCAGTCATTCGACCAAAGCTGGAGACGAAAGCTCGAATCATTTGCATTTCATTTCACAATATTACCATCTCACATATGTAGTATCAACCTACTAATTATTAAATTACACAAACATACAATTTACATATTTATATCAATCATAGTATTCATGCTTAATGCACGAATAGTCTATGAATATTTGAATCTTGTCGAGTCTATATTTGTAACATTCAATCGTATCAAACACGAATTATATTTCTAAAAGTTTAACCATTATTATTAAGTTGACAATAAAGATGACAGCTTCACAAATATGCTAGACGTGTAATGTGCACGTGCAACCCATCATAACTAATAACGATACAATGCATTGTGTTGCTATTGTATTTAATTGCAATTAAAGCTAGTACCAATTCTCAGAACAATTAAAATTATCATTAACACTTCCTTAGAAGTAAAAACAGCTCATTTATTCTAAATGTTATTCCAGTTTGCTAATTAGTTTTGTTATAATGGGAATACAAATTTTGTGTAATTGATCATTTAACATGTAAAAAACTATTCAGTTACTTATCAATTACTATTTAACTTTAAAATAGTCAGTTAGGGAGAAGGGAGACGAGAGCATCATATCATTCTAAGTACACTTTCATTGTATGCCAAGTTAATGAAATCCTACCCAAGAAGTGAATTGCTGCATAGTAAAAAAAACATTTTATGAGAACCATTGATTGACTCAAACGAGCAGACGCTTGTCTGGGCCTCAATTCCGCTATTTTAATATTATATCAATAGAATGGACTGTAGTCAGAATAGATTTGCACTTTTCGTATTCTACTAACTATGTAAGACCTCCCGATAATTTGTCACGGAACTGCCACTGATACAAATGTCGTTGATGACTTTGTAATTATTTGGTAAACGGTACACTTTAAATTTGTAACGAAATGATATATTTAGTTTTCCAGATATGGCAATGTTGTTAATATCACTATTGATGAGCCATTGTCACTACATCGACAGTCTATTGACACTGTAAATTTATGTTAGTAGAATACCGATATTTTGACCGATGTTAAAGGCATCTGAGTAGCGTGTCAATGGAATGACAGTGACTTGTAATTTAAGATAAAATAGCAGAATTGAGGCCCTGGGAACTGCGACCCAGGGATATGTTTGGTTTATAAATAAAAATGAATCGCAGGAATGTATATCATAACTTCCGAACGACTGCACAAAATCGGATAGTTCTTTCTTTGTGTGTTCGTTACTGTCAGGACAAATGGGATAAAAGATAATTAAAAAATAGAACATTTTTTTTTAATCTCATAACATAAAAAGCGAGTGCGTGAATGAGACAGAAGACTGCGAGAGATCTTCAATATATTGACAAAACATTGACGGGTTGACGTGAAACAAGCCTTTCAGGTATTTAGAAAATATTCACGAAAAAAATATAACGGTACGAAGTTCTCCGGGTCAGCTAGTTTAATATAACTATTCTACATAAGTAAATATCAGACCTCCTTTCTAAGGAAAGGCTTATGTCCAGCAGTGGACTATTAAAGGCTGTTGATAAAATATCAGACACACAACACTAAAACTCATTAGAAAGGATTTTTTTTCGAGACTGTTCAACTATAGCTCCGGCCTTTGAAGGACTTTGCAAAGCATTTTTCTGAAACTCACCAGACCATGGTTGCCGCCTATACCGCAGTTTCTTCCCATTCCTCCGGATGAGTTTAACGGAGCTGTCGGTGCTCTTCTTGCTACTGCCGCCACTTGGTGGTGCTTCGTTGAAGTGGTGGTTCACGTGTCGTTCCAATAATATCTGTAATTGTCATAACCAACGTCAGTAAGAAGAATGAACACCGTTTGGCCAGGATTAACAAGGTCTGTAAATAGATAAGATATTTTTCACTTTCACTGATTTGAAACAATTCTAAATCCAAAGAATGCATTCAAATTTACATTTCAGATTGGACTATAAAAATATATAAAATGTCAGTGATTTGAATGAAAAGTTTCGTAGAAGTTTTTATTTGCTTCTCTGATAAATCTGTTGCAGATAATTTCAATAGTAATTTTGCACAAAGCATTAAAGAAAACTTATTTTATCGGTATTTTACTAAATAATTTATTATTACGTTGAGAATAATTTAATACAGTAAAATCAATGACTTTTTTGTATTAATAGTAAATAGTAAAAAGCTAAAAGTAATTATGGATGCATTCTATACGAACTATGAATATGTTAGGTTATATAAGTTTGGTTAGTAATTGCGGAAGATTAAATTGTGTAATTGTATATTTGATAGGAGTTAGTAACTTTAATTGTGTTTTAGGCCCTAATTCACATTTTTATTGCGTTAATTATTTCCGTTAGTAGCTGAATTATTTGTATTAGTTTGTAGATAACTATTTTATTATTTTCAACGTATGAGGTTGATAAATGTTTTTTTTTTGTAAACTGTCGGTTCCGCACTATTGTCAAAGGCACTTAATGTTGTTGAAAGCAAATAGTTTCAAGTCCTTACGCACTAATTATATCTAACACAGTTTCAATCGCTACACAGTACTTGTTTTATAATCTACACTTATCCGGTCTCGGCGCGTCGTGTCGATAAAATAAATAATATAAATCTATTCATCACATTTAGCACTTCGACTGCCAATCGCGTAGATAAAGCTTATAAAGTTTCTAATATTATTAAAATGATGGATACAACTCAAAAAGATTCTCTAATTATTTTTAAATCTACTTTATTGACTCGTCGACATTGTTATAGCGGTCAAAGGGTTAAACCTAAAGAATTGATTGGTCGACAAAATAAACATAAAATGTGAGAAGTGGTGCCAGTCGGGATGGTTCCCTCAGGCCATGTCCTCGTCCTTAGGGAAAGAAAACATATCACAAGTTTATCGTTCAATTTATACAGGGTGGTCGTAAATAAACGTCGATATGGCGACATCACGCGACTTGAACATTTACAGGCTCCAGTTGAGTGGTAATAGAACGACAATATTACTTGCAACATAATTATTTGTGCGCGTTAGTGAATGGATTATAAGTTGCTTGACTGTGATGTGCCATACTATTTATCTAGTGATGGGATCACATCACTCAATAATAATACCGTAAAAGCCTTATTTATTAATATACAAGTACTGATCGTATTGATTAATTGGTGTCGATGCGCGGTTCTAACTTTGTATTATTTTTGAGGATATTTTTTAATAGTTTCATTGGTTTCGTTTTATTGGGTTTAATTCCTATTTTGTGTGTCGCGTTTTATGATCCAATCACTCGATTGGACGTTCGTAATGTACAAACACTATTTTATCAATACACATTAGATCAATAAAGTTAGCAAATTGACAATTTCAAAAAATAGTATACATTTTATAGTAGGTATTACATTTTGAAACCGTGGATTTACACTTAGTAGGTCTAGATACGTCATATTTATATGTGAGTGTTATTGTACAATATCTTAAGGTATTCAAATATAAAGTATTATATAAATGGATGAAATAATACACAAAATCTGTTTTAAAATTTAGAAAAGATACGTAAGATATTGTACAATTACAAGAAACGAACTAGATTTAACAATATTGTAGTCCCTTTTAAGTATTTTTATATTGGCTACTCTTCAAATAATTTAGTATCGGTGACTCGATAGTAGCAGAAATATAGTAACGATAATCATTTTCTTTAGTATCACAGGTGGAAGCTACCGTTACAATCTCGCCTGCATTTGTATATACACGATACAAATAATAAATAACGGTTATTTCGAGTATATTTGAAAAAAGTGAAAGAATATTGCTATAGATACTTGAATGTAGTAGCGCGATACTAAGATAAGTAAGTCACATATTATTAGGTGTAGTTTCCTTATGAAATTGATATTCTTTTCTGGAGTTTACACAAATAACCTCGTTCATGGAGATGAACGAGGTTATTTGTGTAAACTCCAATAAACTCTGTGATTAATTAATCACAGATTAGGCAAAGCCTGTGCTATGGTAACGTGACCGGTGAGAAATATACATTTGATAGATAAATTACACTCGAGACAGAACAAATAATTCTGCTTCGCTCACAATTATTTGTCCCACTGGATCAGCAGTCAGGGTCACTAACCACTAGACAACAGGGTAAGTCAGAATCGTTATTGTAATTTACAGAATGAATCGTAATTTTCCGAGGTTGAGACCATTATATTTACAACTATTCTCGAGTATACGCTTTCCTTTTAATACTCGAAGATTACTGCCAATTCATAAATGGTTAATGGGTGGGGAAAGTAAAGTTATAGTCCGTAATTATACCTGAGTAGAAAACCGCCGCTCGCAGCCGTCGAAGATGCACTTGAACGGTTTGTTTCCCCCGTGCGACAGCGTGTGACGTTCCAGCCAAAGCCGAGAACAGGAAGGCTTGCCCCGCACCTTGCATTGCTCCCATAAGCATACGTAGTTCTCCTTGCCAGCTTGCGGTTCAACATGGACTCTCTGGAATTAGACACAATTTTGTATGGTTAATATAATGTTTTTTACAGAGACTTGAGCTAAAGCGAAATAGAACTGTTTAATGATTTTTCGGAATGTCCCAAAACTTAATCTGTTGTTGTTGTCCATTAATCCGTTAACATGATATCGAAGATCCTGTTCTTTAAAACTAACGTTTTCCTTTTTGTAACGAATATACTTTAAAAGTTATTGATATCTTATTACAACAAATTCAAACATATTTGTAGTCTATGTAAGCATTCTGATCTGCTGAATGCACTTTAGACTTAGTACCGTACCGCTTCGCTAGATGGCGGTGAGTGTTCCAATCAAAATAAATTGTACACATAATAACTAACTTTAATGTAACTTTTATAACAAATAGTTGTAAACTTTATTTTGAAAACAATATAGGTTTCGATGGTTTCGTTAAATAAGATAAATACAAAAATGTGTGAAGAACGTACCTGTAAATGATCTAAAAGGTCTGAATCGCCATCGAACTCTCTTTTGCAGTTTTCCCACAAACACACTGTCACAGTGGTCGTTGTATCTGTACTAGACTTCCGTTTATCACTATTAGGCTTGGTTAGGCTCCTGGGAGGAAACCGAAGCGTCTTCGGCTGCTTGAGTATAGGACTCTTCTGACTTGGCACTTCAACGGAGGACACACTAACACAGAGAGACAACGAAGAATCTTCATCACACTCCTTGCTGGTCTGAGAGTCACTAGGCGAATCTATCGACTTGTCTGTTCCTATCCCGGATTCAGATTCAGTTGTGGTACTACAGAAATGTGTTTCTATCACAGTATTGTGCACGTCCGATGATACGTCCTTCATAACAGTTATCTGCGTGAAGAGCGTCTCCTCTTGCTTCGAAACCTCTTCAACATTCCTCATCAAACGTGGCTCTTGTCCCAAGTTCTTCGTCATTTCCTCACCTTTTTCTTTTCCTCTCAATTTCTCCACTGCAAGCTCTCCAAGTTTTTCTGCTATACGACTTACGTGTGCAAAAGGCCTCGAGTTAATCTTTCCAGAGTCTATTGAAAAGATGTTATTGTTTACTGTCTTCGATAACCAAGGTATATCACACTTCATCGGCATTACATCATTTATCTCCGGTTCCTTAACGGTGCTGCTAGGTGGGTCTGTGCCTTGGATCGGATTGTCTGGAGGTTTCACTGGAGCGATGGGTATACTACTCGAGTGAACAGTCTGCGTTGTAAAGTTCGCTACGATAGGAGGCGGGTGATGTACTATAGGATTTGAACGCGTCGTCTGCGATGCGGAAGCCGAATTAGTATTCGTGTAACTCCACGTTTCTTTCACGTTAATATTTGGCACAGACGTTACAATAAAACCAGGCTGTGGCATAAGGACGGGATGACTAAAATTGACAGTGTAATTCGGTTTCGATTGAACTGTCATTCCGACAGGTTGCATGCCTGCTACATTTTTATTCATCACTGGAATAGATTGACTCGTTACCGGCGCAGGTTTATTAACGGGCGGATACTGTGATGGCACCGGGTTGGCGATCTTTAATAGAGTACCGTTTATGAGAATTGATGCCGCCTGTTGATTTTGTAGGTGATCTTGCCCATGTGCCGTCAACTGAGAAGTTTGGGGAAGTACAAAGTTGGGCATTTTGGCCATTAGATTTGGAATTTGAACAACCGTTCCATTTATGTTTTGAACTAGCGGAAAAACAAACTGACCATTTAGTTTCGTAGGACTCGAGACATTGACATTCGGTCGATTGAAAGTTGTCATGTTATTAATATTAGTTTGTTGAGTCGACATATTAGCGCCGTTGAACGTTTGTGGCGATAAACTGTTTTGGGGTATCCTTAAAGTTGTAAGCATAACATTTTGGGGAACAGCAACGAAAGATGCTAAATTATTTGGTGTAACAGAACCATTGCACGGTTGTGGGATATTGATCTGATGACAGTTCTGTAAATTTGTTACAGGTACATTTAGATTCCCTATACTTCCGTTCACAGCCATAGAAACTTGACGCACACCATTTGGTATATTTATCTTAGCGGCTGTATTTGATTCGCTAGGAACCGCAGGTTTTATTGAAGTATTTTGTAGTGGATTTGTGCAATTTTGTTGTTGAAGCTGCACTTGTTTGAGATTGTTAGCTTTAGACCATGTGAGATTTTTGTTGTTGGCTATGCAAGCGGATGATTTACGATTTGTCCTTTTCGCAGCCTTAGCTGGTTTTTTCAGTAAATCCTTTTTTGCTGGAGGTGATTTTGTTATCGGATTTAGATTTAGATTATTAGATCCACAAGTGACCCCGTTCATTCGGCTGTCCAGTTTAGTCGTCGAGCTTACTACGCAGTTCATTTTTGATGTGTCAATCTTTGTGATCTTTTTAGGTGAGTGACTCGCTGAAGTAGCAGGCGCTATTCTGACGCCGACAAGATCACTTGAAGCAGACATCGGCATTTTGCGCTTTGTCATGTCTAACGTCCTATTAACTATTTCATTGGCGGATGGGCCCGGTGGCGTTTTTATTTCGAGGTTCTGCCTTTTTTCATCTACCGATCCCTTGAGAAGTCCTCCGGCATGTTTTTCTTTAAAAAAAGCTTCTGTCGCTTGTCGAACTTCTACAAATCCATTTAAGTTCATGTGAGTCTTTTTCTTTCATTTCTTTAGGACCTATTACAACCTGTCGTACCGTTCTAACTTGGTACTCGACGTCACTTTAAATTGAGATCTGGCGCCTTTGTAATGTCCACTTTACCGTTTAGCGCCGGTAGCGGAAGACTTTCGAAAGGGCAGCTTCTGTTTGTTTAAACTGACGTCCATCAACACTTTAGGACTGAGAGTCTGCGCCCAGATAGGATATATACTTTTCGAGGTTCGTGCGTGACCCTTTTTGGTAGGCACTTTTTCTTGGTGTCATCATTGACAGCGGGTGCACCGCGCTTTGAGGCCGTTCTGCGGCTTCATCTTGTGGTTGAAGTATTCGGTGTGCGGCGGGGGCACGGGCGCGGGGGGCGGTGCGAGGCGGCGGCGCGAGGTCGGCGCCGGTTCCTGCGCCCACGGCGGCATGCGCGCGCCAGCGCCTTCCGAGCACGAGCTGCACGGCGACTCGGGGCTGCGCGGCGAGCGCGGCGACGTGGTGTCGCTACCGCTGTACCCGCTACTCTCCGTCGGATCAGCACCGCCCCCGCCACTGAAACGAAACAATTTGAGTTTAGTTTTCCACAGCGATGATATACATAATTTTTATATAGACATCGACTTTTTAGTACCAATTGATATCACATCGCCATTTTTGGGAACAAGTATATCGTTAAATGACAATCAGCTGTTAAGCGAGTGGGATCGATCGCAAGAGGGTACATTCGCGTCGGCGGAATAGCGGGCGCGATGATCCCTCATTCGGGCGCAACGAGCGCTCGGTACGCGGTGCAATGCCCCGGCGCGGCGGTCCAGTGCAGTGACGCAACGAGACTGCACTGACCGAACGACCGTCCGGAGCGAACGCACACATTATTTTTGGCCGCGTGACATTCATCGCACGTAGACTTGACGCGACTACACACTGTGACGAATTAACTAACAATTTTATTCATTGTTCATGTATTTGAAAAGGTGTTTTATTATTTAAGTACACTTTTATATTCTCTGCAAAGACGTCGCCGGTGGGAGGTACGTATCCATCATACGTCTCACGATGACACTTACGTGACATGCAAATGTGCGGGATGTCTACCGCTTATCTATTTGTAATACCACAACTTTCGTGTCGTGTGTGAAATGTATGCTCCCGCATAACCCCGTTTCAGAATCTTTTGTAGGGCGAAATCCACAGGTAAAAGTCGAATAACACAATTTTGACTAGCAACCCTTGTGGTCGTGTGCGCTATTATAAGCTTTGTGGTTTTACGGGCGGGCGTTATTTTTCCCTGTACGGCTTGGCATAGGGTGGTTGGGGGCGGTGTCTCGTATCGAGTGCGCTCCCTCGCCCTTTGTGAAGCCACAACGCATACTTATAACTAGAGCCGTACGTTCCCCTCTTTTCTCGCACTTCGTAAGGAGCTTTGTTGCTAATTGACCCAATTTTTTGGAAGTTTTTTTGCACTGAAGATTTTCGAAGTACCTATCTGTCTAAGAGGCGGAGGAGGGAGTTCTTAATTTGATACCGAACATCGTTAAGCCCGTATTTTTATCAGAAAAACTTTTTATTTCCTGTTATGAGAACAGGATTAAAACTCTACTGATTGTTAAGTCTATCCTTTATGAGTCAGTTTCGTAAGAGACCGTGAGTGGGTAATGTATTTTGCCATAAAATATTGAACTATAACAAACATCTTTGCTATCTATTCATAAGCTTAAAATTCTATACATTTTTCTTCAAAAAGGATCAAAGCAATTGTTCGTAAAAATTAACATCATTTAAGATAAATCATATATTCCTATAGGGCCTAGGTATGTCTTTGAATAGCGGACTGAACAAAGATATTCGTTAAAGTTTTTTTGCGAATTGTCGAAAGCAAAAGTGGGCTGTCAGTGTGCCGTATGTAGGTGAGGCGCAGACGTCGCAAGGTCGCGTCCGCGCCGATTTCGGTCGTTCACCTGCGCTCCGAGCACTACAATGTAATCTCACTTCAATGTTCGAATATAGATTACATACATACACAGCTTCGGTTTGTTGTTTGTTTTTATTATTTGTATTGTTTTTTAAACAGTAAAGTCTTACGGTTAAAATTAATTAATGTATCTTGGAAGCTTAGATGCGGACGCGAACCCTAGCCACGTTTATGCCTATTGCACTAAAAATTCAAAAAGTTTACTCAAAATTTATTAAACGGATTAAACGGATTATTAATTTATTGTTATGAATGTTTTTATAGATTCATCGGGAGTATCCGGTAATTTGGTTAACAAATCGTTTTGTTTCCGTTCTAAATTCACGGCGATAGGTACCAAGTGTCAATAAGTGCCTATTGCGTTCGGTGTGACGACTAAGTATAGCAACGAGTATATTGTTAAATTATTTTAAATTCGGACTAGTATTCGAAATCGGCATTTTTAAGTGCCTAAGGGTTTAATCAATATTGTAACCAAATTAATGCCTAAATATAATCTTCAAATGGCGATATAACTAAATTCATTAAGTCACTGTGTAAGATAGGCAGGCAATAAAGTCTATTAAAAACCATGGCGAATAGTAACACCAACATTATGATTTACATAGGCAGTTTTGAAATTAGCTAATTATGCAGAATAAATTGATATGCATAATTGCATGAATTAGACTTCAGTATATATGTATAATCTCGTTAGTTATGTTCGTAAGTTTTATATGTACATATACATACATGAATCAATCTTAATTTGTTCAAATATGTGTCTACATTTAGGCCCTTCCGCACAGCGATATTTTACCGCGCAAAATTCTGTGACACATAGGATCTATATAGGACTATACGCACTGGCGAAAAAAAAACTGTGATTATTTCCACAGAAATTGGCGGAAAAAAACACGCCGTGGAATTATCGCTTTGCGGACATTTTTCTGCATTGCAGGAAAGGTGGAGTGACAATCTGCGCAAGATGGCTGGCAGGAGCTGCATGAGAGATACCGAAAATCGATCTAAGTTGCGTGCAATGGGAGAGGCCTATGTCCAGCAGTGGACTGCGATAGGCTGATGATGATAAGGTACAAATTTATAACTCGTGTCGCTTGTTAGTATTGCCTTACAAGCTTGATATGCCAAAGGCCCAATTGAAACCTGATTTTAAATCATGTGATGTTTACGTGAACCCTTTGAGCCGTACAGTTTCACAATTGAGCGTAAATTGTAATCTCTAACGACAAGGCAGCGATGCTATCGGCCCTAGCAAATTAACGCGATGACCCGCTCACCTAGCGTGTCGCCCCAGCGTAAGTCCCTTTACACATATACCATACAAACGAGTCAATTAAAAATAATTAAACACTAATTTATGTTTCAAATAAGGTACATATTATCACTTAATATAGAAAGATTTCTGTTAAATTTGTTATGTGATAGCACACTACAACTTCGGATAAATAATTCCATCAGATTGAATTAATCCACCAAGATTATATTTAAAATGTGTGTATATTTGTATCGAGTGTCAGCGTTTAGTAGAAACTCTTCGTTTTGAAAATCGGTTAAAAATTAAGGTTATAATCGGGGTTATTATAAGGTATTATAAGTATACCTTTCTGTTTACCTTGACACGTTCGGCACAGGTCGTTGTCACGAATGAACTGTGTTTCGGTTTATTTTTAACTTCCTTGTGCCTGTGGCTTAGCTGGTCAGTGTTTGAAATGACATGTTCAGAAACAATAAGATTAGAAGTTTTTAATGTTTTAAAAAAATAGCTCTCACACACATAATCACATTGTGTTGTGTTATGTGTGCGGTTGCTCTGTATGTGGTCTCTTAATAACCATTTACGTTTATAAGTGCACTCTTAGCTTAGAAGGTTACTCAGTAATGTCCACCTGTCTCCAGATATAATAAGTTGATAAATAATATTAGCAACTGTTACTTTCAAGTTATCTTGGTTGATAAGATTTTGACTTCATGCTGGACATATCTGTGAATATCGTTTAAAAATAAGTATATTATTATATAACTTCTTACGGAAATTTAAAAACCCTTTTTTTAAGAAAATACCGTAATAATTTCTTGAAGCAACCATTAAAAGCCGATTTCAACACGAATGAATATGACGACTTGAAAAAAATGCTTCCGTTTAGCTTAGGAAAAATATAAAAACTGTTTTAGGAAACTGAAATATTCATTAATCACGAACGACTTAAGTAGAGACAGAATAAGCGAAAACGTATTTATTAAGGAGTGAAATGAAAAGAGACGAGGGATTCCGGAAAAAAACATGAGATGAAAATATAAATAGTGTACATACCTACCTACTTTTTAAATTACATCTCTATTTGACTATGGTGTATTACCGTGACTATGGTTACAGCAATAAGCATACGTTTCAAGTAAATGATAAAAAAATCTCAAGAAGTTACTTTTACTCGAAGTTAAATAAAATAGATTATATTAAATACTCTTTATTTAGTTATGCAGGTTGGTAACCCCACAACTTGAACGTGTTGTGTGTATGCTTACTTCTCGGAAATATCGCCCCCATCCGCTGTGATAATAATCATTCTAAGAAATTACAACTACGCAATCTTACTACAAAAATGTACTATTATTACTATTAATGTTCAACACTTGATATAGACTTCAATACACGAGCATTGACTTTATGTTTTTTTTTTAATCTTCCTAATAGTTGCGGTAAAGAAAAGGCGCCGGGCGCAGTGTAGTGACGGATTAAAATTACGCAGTGATACCATGTAATAGCTGACTAAGGAAGCAAACTCTCCAGGAAATCACTGCAAAGACAAGGAAAACTTGAAACAAACCCTATACCAACACGGCTGCCCACAGTGGTACAGTAGGCCAAAACTTCCTTTCTAAGGAGAGGCATATGTCCAGCAGTGAACTGCTAAAGGCTGTTGATGATGACGATGAGGATGAAATCCCGAATAAACCACACACTGCTAAGCTGTCTCGCCCATTGAGCAATTTTTCTACTGTGCTGGATTAAATTATTTATGTTTTGATAACTATTTTATTTTATTTTTATTTTTTTTATATTTTATTTTTATTGGCGAAGTAATATTGGTTTGTCATCAGAGTTCCTTGGAGAACTATGTTGGACATTTTGCTCGTTTACGTCAGTAACCGCTTTATTATCATCAATCAGACAATGCGTTTATTTACTAACTTCATTCCTACATGAAGTTATAGAAAAAGCCTTAGTGACGAACCGATTAAAAAAGTAAAAATGTTTTTTTTTTTCTAATATCCACTTATTGGGTCCACCATCAGACCATCGATACTAAACCGAATCTGTTATTTGTCAAAACGAGTCACATGAGCCTAAACTGATTTTCTAGTAGCCACTGCAGAGTTCCACTACTCAGCTCCTCTTGGTTCTATCATCAGATCAGTTCCGAGGTTTAGAATTATAATATTGGTATCCAAACAGCATTTACCGACGATGGGGTAGACGATTGGCAAGTCATCAAAACGCTAGACGCGGTACATTTTTGTATCAAATACTATTTCGTGACGTCACACCAAGTAAAACTCATCGACATCTTATAAAAGATTAATTGATAATGGAGGACGATTCAGGCTCTACTTTAAGAATTAAGATGATGCATTTAATTATGCAGGCGAAATAATTTATTTTAAACCCAGGAATGTACCCTATTAGAAGTAGTATAACACTAAATCAATAAAGACTTATTTATAGTGAGTTAATAAACTACAAGTAAAGTTTATTAAAGCGTATTTAAAGAAATCATTATAAAAAATTATGAGTTAAGAACTTGGCAGACTAATACTGATTTCTTTCGTATTACAGCGCAACTGGCGTAAACTGTATTCTAAAACCAACGAGATTTAATAAATAGACATTTATTCAATACGGATATTAGACGATCAGTTCTAAAACATACCACGTTAAACGTACACCTATTATTGACTCGCTAAACATAAATTGAACCTGTGCTAATATTCCTGTTAAGTGGGTTGCATCACAAATAGTGTTGGGTAATAGTCGACGGCATCGATTATATTATCTACTATAGTAGTAAAATAGGATGTGTTCGGCCGCGCGTGGGAGCGGCCGTGACATAACGAGTAGGCGCGTACAAAAGCGCAAATGGTACACGTCAAGCGCACATGGCGTTACCCCCGATAAAAGGGAGCTTTGTGCACACCCCCCCAGCTCGGATTTAGCGTAATAACTATGGCAGTTCAAGGGTGGACAACTTATTAGTTTTTTTTTGTTACACACGTCGAGATAGTAAAATGAAATAAAGTATTATGATGAAATACAATTTGAGTTTAAATATTAGGCACTAAAATAACTTCTCAGCCTGGAATGTCATTCTGCTTACAAAAGTCGTTAAAGTTTACCTTTCCGACTCACCGTACCTAGCACCGACTGGTGACTGGCGGTGCGATTTGTTAAAAACGATATTGTACTCAAAATAGTGACTAGAGTTAGACGTGACTAGGTACAATCTGTTTATTTTTAAGAGTCCAAAGCTTTTTGAATAAATTCTAAGAGTATTTATTTCTACCCGTCGTAATTTGTCTCAAGCATGTTGGGATTAATTGGCGAACAACTTACATCCGGATTCACCTATTACTAATGATACACCTTGCGTGTAACGCATTTAGTAAATGTCTTGTAAGACGTTTAATAAACGAATTACGTAATATTATTTTTGTGATTTGTACTGATACTTACCGATTTTAATCATTTTAAATATCATGTATCCTCTACGATGCATGATATTATATTACCCCGACTACCACGCAGACGCGATAAAACTAGGAAGTTATAATATTTAGCACATTATCCTCAAAAATATTATTAATATATAAATGATATCGTAAACAAACAGAAAAAAGTGCAAATCAAAATTAAATAGGATATTATTTAGTTTAGCTTTGAAAATTGATCATTGTGAAGGGGGACCGCGCCTCAAGGGATTTAAGTTCTTGTCAAATTTCGCTCAGGGGTTCCCATGTGTTGTTGCGGAACCCTGCTGCGTGCATATGCGCCCCGCAAGGGCTGTCCACTGCCACTCTAGTGTTGTTAACGTATAGAAAATATACTCGAGTTGATTACTTTTTAAATTAGTTAACTGTATAAGGGCTTAAACATAAAATAAAAACGCCGAATATTACATTATAGTTTAACTATTGTATACCTAGTAAACTTTATCAAATTAACTATTGAGATATTGATTTGGTTACAAATCAATAAAATAATGGCATTTTGGCAATTCAACAGTTTAGTACCTACATCCCAACGGATAAACATACTACTATGATAATAATTTTTTATCACATTATTTATGGTGTCTGACGGTAGACGCTGTTGTTGATTAATTAAATGGAGGCCCTTTAACCAATAACGTGCTCAGAACATTAACCAATGGCAATTTCATCTAAAATTAATTTTCAAAAAAACTTGTAAAAATTGTAATATAAAGGGCATTATTAAAGTTCTAAAGTTACAGATTGTTTTATAAGCAGCGTTTGTAAAAACAAACACACAATGTATTTCAGGTGAGAGAACCAGTTTTAGTATAATATATTTATCGTAACGGTTTCTGTACAGCTACTTGTTGCTACTACTAATAAAACAGGTAATCTAGTAGGTACTAAGAATCACAACGTAAAATAATTGCACCGATCCAACAACAATAAATAAAAATAAATTCTAGCTCGCGCCAATTCTCCGGTCAGTTCACTTTCCACCTGAGAACTGTCGCTATACTGGTTTTCAATGTCGTGTTGCAGAGATTATGTCATCGGCGATGTATTTACGTCGTTACTCATTCATTAAAACGTTGAAAGGAAGCTCGCCGTGCCGCCCGTGAGAATCGTGTCAGTATAGGGGAGGCGAGGCGGCCACCCCGTCGGCGCGCTACTATGACTCCCCTTTGCCACCCCGCCCGCGATTATTATGCTAAGTGTCTGTCTCCATCGGGGTGACTTTTTCGCGCATCTGCTATTTATTTACGCGTTTTATATTCATAGGATTGTGTAAGTCGTTCGGTCGTGGTAAGACATCAAGCTTACAGTTCATTACGTCGCGTTACAACCTCACTGCGAACGTTGTGTCTGATCATTTTGGTTCTTGTGTCAGTGACGACACAGCCCAGTTCACAAGTTGCGTGTATATATAGGTTACCGTGCGCACCCACTGTGTCGCTACCAAACGCTGTTCAATTGATTTTGTTATAAAAATGTTTTTTCAAACTGCTATCAGCTATATTGGGGACGATGTTAGGGAAAGAATATAACTATAGTCAATCGAAAAGTTTTGAATTAAATCACTATTTTTGTTATTGCTATAACTATTATTTCGGATTGTGGTTTTGAAAATTATTATGGATTATGTTTTATTTAAAAAATTCTTAATTAACTATTAAGAGAATTTAATCAAATTGATAAGCTTTGCTGTCACAACTTAGTTACAACAAAGTTAACAGCTTTTAGATTTCAATTTCCTTCTTCGTCCACTTCAAGCCCGATAAAAGTAAGTTTATAGCACCCCATAGAACCGCAAGATAGCAGTGCCAATCGAAATATCAAACCGCTTCCTATTTCTTTAAAACTATAGATGGAAATCGATAGACGCTTGTTATAGCAAAAACAACTTAGGGTTTTAAAGGATTTCTTGTCGTTGTGCTGTGAAAATAGGATTTAGAATCGTCGAGCAAATTTATCCAAATGTTTCATTTGACGTTGCCACACACAAAGACGTTGCAGTTCCAGTTTCCGTAAATGTCTGGGCAGGAAATCAGCGGATGCACAGAGACAGCTTTGTCTAGTGCTTTAGTTAATATCCTCGAAAGTAATGCGGTTTTGTAAATAGCGTCGGTGTGAAATTGTTTTTGCTTCGATTCTTTATTTAATAAACGTTTTTAAGCAGACTGATAATGATTCTACTGTCTGGGTCATTTCTTTATACACAACTAGTAATTATGTTAAGGACGCTTGGAAATAAACTTAGTGTATTAAAGTAATTAATAAAGAGACTATAGTGATTAATCTTCAGTCTGTAGTGTTTGTTATTACATAGCGGTAACTTTAAGTAAGGTTAGGTTAGCTTTTAAACTTATTAATGTCATTTCCATTAACAAAAGTCACATTTCATAGCTATGATTATCGGCCTTACAGGTTCGCCACCTTTACCCATCGCAGTTTATTCTGAAACGCATTTGCATTACGCGTTACGTTACATTTTATTGTATAAATAAGTTTAAAGTGATCAAGCTTTCTTTGTTACACCATAAAGCTGTTAATACGCGCAAACAACCAAAAATATATATTCTAAATAAGCAACACGAATTCGCGTAGACTAAACAAACAGCCTAAATAGTGGGTTATAATAAAACACGAATTGTTTCTGTTCTTTCGATACCACCACTCTTTTTTTAGACTTGGTGACAATTAAGCAAAAACCTGGTCAGAATAAACTGAAAAATTATTGTAAATACATAACTTTAAGATATATATTAAACCAAAGATGTGAAATCATTTTAAGAGCTTTGAGAGCACTCAGATA